TACAATCAAGGTTCAACCTGGCCCTAACGCTGTAATGTGTACACACAAACACAGCAATAGCCACAAGATTGTTTCACTTGTTGTTCTAATTTTGCAAGTTTTATAATGTGCTCTTTCTGTTTCTCAGCACAGCGGAACAAACTTGCAGTAGTTTAATAGTCACGCAAGAATGCAGTAAAAAGATATCCCATTTTCACCATGTTTTAGCCTCCAGTCCCCTAATCATTTTTGTTGCTCTTCTCTGCACTCTTTCTAGAGTCTCAATATTTTTTTTGTATCATGTTGACCAAAACTGGATGCAGTGTTCCAAGTATGGTTTTTACCAAGGCATTATATAATGGTATTAAGACTTCACACGATCATTTCTCTGAAATAGTACAGTCTCCTGCTTGAGCAGAGGGTTGGACTAGAAGACCTCCAAGGCTCCTTCCAACTTTGTTATTGTTATCCCAAAGATGCTCTTTCACCTGGATGACTGAGAATCTCCATAGTTACTAGAGGGTTATTGTTATTCAAGCACAGATCATAGACAGAGATCTACAGCCACCCGAAGGATGGAAATCCCACCCGGGAATGAGAAGGTAGCCCTTCTTTCACTGAAGACGGAATTGCCTGGAATGCGATCCTGGCACTGCTGCTCTTCCCTGTCCATCCTGCGTCCCCCTCACTCGCCTTTCCTTCTAAGGAAAAGGGTCCAAACTTTCCTCTTAGCAGGGCCGAGTCTGCACTTTCTGGCCAATCCCCTCAATGTAAAATAATAAGGGACCCTTCCAGATTTCCTTATTAGGACCCAAATGTAATCCGGGTCCTGAAACCGGGACGATGGCGCGACTGCCCGGGTCTCCTCCCGTCCCTGCGCCCTCCGCTACGGAGAGGATCGAAGCGGCCTCGGGGACGCAGGACTCCGGACCCCCCCCCCCGGTCCCTCTCAGCGCCAACCAGGCAGCGGCCCAGACACGCTACGACCGCCCGGCTCTCCCCCCTCCCCGGGAAAGGCCAGTGGGGCGGCGGCTTTCCGGCGGCGCTTCTCGGGGAGGCCCTGGAGCAGCGGGTGGGCGACGGGGAGACCCGGCGGGACTCCCGCGCTCCTGACCGCCCCTCCCCCACCCGCGGAACCGGGGGCGCCCTGGACCCGGAACCTCCCCGGCCGGCGCTTCCCTCGCCTTCCTCCCCCCGCGCCCGTCGCGGCTCGCTCCTCGGTCCGGTGGCGGCGGACCGATCGGGGGAGCCGGAGAGACGCCGAGCCCGCGAAGCTCCGGGCAGCCCCCCGGGGGGCCATCCAGTCCGGGCCGGCCTGTCGAGAAGCCGCGCGCGAGGCCGACCGGCAGCCGCTCCCGGCCACTCACCGGGCGCCGCCGGCAGCAAAGGGCGAGCAGCTGCCAAGGACGCGGCGGGCCGTGTGCCTCCCAGCAACGCCCCCGCCGCGGCCCGCCGACCTGCCCGGGAAGCGGCTCCCGCTCGGCGGCTCCGGCTCGGGCGCAGCACTTTTGTCTGCCCGGCCCGGCCCGGCCCGACGCTGCGCCGCCCCCGGCTGGCCCGAAACCGCCGCTCATGCCGGGCGGCCCGAATGGAACGCCAGCAATGCCGGCGGGCCGGTTGCCGAGCGGGGGCGGGCCAAGCAGGCGGCGCCGCCCCCCGGCCGGTCCGCCCGCGGCGGGGTTCCTCCGGCGGAGCTCCGGGGCGGGGAGGCGGCGGCGCCAAGCGGAGCCCCCTCAGGCCACCCGCGCCGCGTCCCCCCCCCCCGCGGGGCCAGGTCAGCCGGAGGTGCCGCCCGAGGGGGCCACGGGACGGGCCGTCACGCGCCATCCCCCCCCCCCGGCCCAGCCCGATGGCCGAACTGCGCCGCCGTCCCGAGCGGGGAGCCCCCGGAGACCCCCCCGCCCCCCAATCTGCCCCCCCCGTGGCAAACCTCGGGAGGGAGTGGCCGCTGCGGACCCGCCGCCCCAAAGAAGCTCAGCCTCGCCGATTTGAATCCGAATCCGTGAAAGGGATGCGACCTCCTCGTGTCTTGAGCATGTGCAAAGTGAACTAAACATCCCACACCGCCGAAGCCTGTGAATAACTCGATTATGATTCAGTCTGTGACCTGGTTCACACCACACCCTGAACCCCAAACGACTCTGCTTGAATCTGGTTTAGGTTACTGGCCAATTCACCTATTTTGATGCAAAGCAGCACACAAATACACACATAAAACGTGGAGCAGCTATAGGTAACCGCAGCACTGTTCTTCTGAGCACAAGTGGGGAACAGTTTCTATGCTCAGAAAAAGGAATTAGTTGGAGAAGGTGCTGTCCGGCTCTGGCCCTCAGGAGCCCCCCCCCCCCACCTGCTGTCCTCCAAGTGGTCTTTTCCCAAGGCCTTCTGTCTCTCCCTCCCCTTCTAGGCTGCCCCCTTCCCAGATACTCAAGATGAGGATGGGGAACTTGTGGCCAGCCCCATCTGAAGAAGCCCACCACTCTGGCTGGGTCCTGCCCTGCCCCCATTCTTGGCAGAGTTTGGGTCCCTCAGACTACAGCCAGGAGGCCCTGGAAGGTCCCCTGACCCTGAAATAAAGCGATCAGAGGGCTCCATCCTCCAAGCTGGCAGAGAAATGAGCAGAGGATCAGAGGACGTTCCTTGTAACATTCCTTCGGAGCTTCCCTTGTTCTTAAAAGGTATTCAAAGAATGTGCGGGAGAAAACAGGCTCCTCTCTGCCTTTTGCTGTGACCAAGAGCAACGCCAAGTATTTGACTGGTTTCCTGGGTTGGAGCCTTAGAAGTGATACTTCTGGTTTATCAACTGGCTGGGGAAGCTGCTGGAAAGAGGCCAAGCCATCAAAGAGATTCACAGGCACATTTGACATCAAAGCAAGCCCTTTCCTGGTTCCCATGAAGCACAGAACACAAACCAATAAGCTTCACACCTTCTATATGCTTGGTCACAGGAAAGCATGTTTAAAATTTCCTGGCCTAGCACATTGTGTGAGTGCAGGTGCCAGACTTGTCATGTGTACAGAATAAGAGAGTTGGAAGGGACCTTGGAAGTCTTGTAGCCCAACCTGCTGCTCAAAGCAGAAACCTCTACAGTATATGATTCCAAAAAAAGGGCTGTCCAATCTCTTTTTAAAAACCTCCAGTGATGGAGCACCCACAACTTCTGGAGGCAAGCAGTTCCACTGGTTAATTGTTCTCACTGTTAGGAAATTTCTCCTTAATTCTAGGTTGGACCTCTCCTTGATAAATTTCCATCTGTTGCTTCTTGTCTTGCTCTCAGGTGCTTTGCAGAACAGGTTGGGCCTCTTCTTTGTGGCAGCCCCTCAAATATTGGACAACTGATATGGTTTGTACAGACAGAAACAACAGCTCCGCCATGAGTTCACCTGTGTCCCCCACTGTGGCCAGTCTCTACTTGGAAGAGGTAGAAACCAAAGCCCTGAACTCCTTCACAGGGATTCCATCCACTCACTGCTAGAGGTATGTGGACATTACTTGGGTCAAGATCAAAACACAGGTATTGGAAGCATTCACCAAACACATCAACTCGGTGGACATCAAATTCACATGGGAAGATGTTAAGGAAAATAGTCTGGCCTTCCTCCCCGGACTGTGCAGTACACATTAAGGAAGACAGAACCTGAACAGCGAAGGCAGGCAAAGCTTTTACAGCAGCTAAGTAAGTTCTGCCTCTCGTTCCTGGCCTCGGAATACAAGGGTGCTTTTGTCCATCGGCTGTGGGAGCGTCTGTGTCCCAATGCCTCAGGCCGGCTCTTTCCTTCAGCAGGAGCCAGTCTGCAAGCCTGTCCAATCGCTCCGGTTGCCCAAGCCACAAGGGGATATGAGGAGGAGCTCCCCCCATAGCCCTAAACCAGGGGTAGGCAACCTCGGCTCCTTTATGACTCGTGGACTTCAACTCCCAGAATTCCTGAGCCAGCCAAGCTGGCTCAGGAATTCTGGGAGTTGAAGTCCACGAGTCATAAAAGAGCCCAGGTTGCCTACCCCTGCCCTAAACCCAGAGCACTTTCCCAGCCTGACTCAGATCCAAGGGACGCAAGGGGGCTGGATCATTCGCCTCAGAGCAGCCATCTGGATCTAGGCAGCCCTCCAAGCTCTCAGAAGGCGGAGAGGAGCTTTGACAGCTCATTCGAACAGCAGGCAGAACGCAGAGTGTCCAGATCAAAGTTGCCATAGGACTCAACACCTGAACCCGTGTATGCAGTAAATCCTACGGCCATCCAGGCGGTTCCTCTACCCCAGAACCATTTTGCTATCCTGCAGGGTCATCTCCTTCCAGTCAAGCTCAAAAGTTTATGGACACCCCCCACCATGTAATTTTCTTGGAAGTAAGGCGGAAGTGGTTTGCCTTTGACTTCTGGCGTGAGGGGCTGGGCTTTGGAGCTTCCTTTGGCTTCTTAGCCTAACCTCTAATCTCAGGATTTTATCCTATCCAACCAGCAGGCCTGAGGCTGCTGACTTTTCCAGATCAGCCAAGGCCTGCCTTGTGCTGCCATCTAGCTGGCATCTGATGTAAGCAAAGAAGCCAGTGGAACTTTTACTAAAGGAAGGAGTAAACCCAGAGCATACATAGAACAACAGGCTCTTTCTCCATGGAGCTGTGAGGGGTCATTTCCCACCTGGTGAGCATCCCCTCTCTCCACAGAAGTTCAGGCAGGTGGCATCACTCAGAAATGGTATTTTGCCATTCTTTTATGTATGAACTGACAAATGGTGCCCAGATGGCTTTCTTCCCAATTGTGCCAACACTCCCAAATTTACAAAAAAGCAAACAAGCCCCAGCTGGGACCAATTTTTGCGTCTCCTGGTGTCAGCTGTTGGGACTCTGGTTGACTGGTGGTGCTTTCAGCAGTTCCAGAGCCAAGGTGGCAAGGAGGCTGCAGCCAACTTAAAATTGTGTGTAGATCAATGCTCTTTTGCAAACTCACTCAACTCACGCTTTTTTTTTTTTTTGCATTTTTGTGCTGTGCACTACATTAAAAGACCACACAACAGAAAAAACTACAGCTGTTTTAAGCAAATCAAATATATTTACTGTATATTTAGAATCTTTAAAAAACCAATATTGCTTAAGAGTTTTCACTTGCCCTAATTTTTTTTGGATTTTTGCTGAAATTCTTCTAAAGATACAGTTAAATAGTTTGGTGTGTAAAAATATGTGGTTTTTTTCCATTCGGTCATGACCAATTCTCACAGACTACCTGGACAAGTCCCTGCAGTTTTCTTGGCAAGGTTTTTCAGGAGTCGTTTGCCATTACCTTCTTCCAAGGGCCGAGAAAGAATGACTGGCCCAAGGTCACCCAACTGGTTTTGTGCCTAAGGTAAGACTAGAACTCGTCGTCTCCTGGTTTCTAGCTTGATGCCGCAACCATGGCACCAAACTGGTTCTCTAAATAAAGTGTAAAAAATTGTAGGGGTCTCTAACTGCCAGGGCTCCGTCTCAGCCCACTTTGTTCTTAATAGCACAAGATGGGAGATTATTTGGAGTGGCTGGATGATCCGGGCAAACGCGACCGGCAAGGAGCCCTCCTTGACTTACAATGTGCCCAGACACGGAGGGTCATCTGGTCCGTCTAGTTGGGCTCCTCTTTTTCTAAGATTTCCACCGAGAGAACCTCTTCATCCCCAGCAGGGGTTGGGCTCATGGAAACCCGAACAGGATGGTCAGGACGTTTGGAGGACATCGTCTCGGTTCCGTAGTCGTCGGGCTTGGAACCAGCTGGTGAAGCGTGGCTGGCCGGTGACTTAGGGACAACTGGTGTGGAACTGGCAGCCTGAAAGAGAAGTCGGTCAGATTGGGAGTTGTATAAGGTGTCTTGGTAGGAAAAAGATGCTTGCCTTAAAACTGGGGGAAGCAGCGTCTTAGTTCTAGAGTCCATTCTTCTAGACAGGGCCCAGAGCAATGTCCCTGGGCATGAATAAGCCCACAGATGTTTCATCCACTTGGCTCCCTGCCCAGCTGACTTGTGAGTTTGCTTTGGGTTACTTTAATTAAAATGAGATTGACACAGGAACTGGGGTGCTGCAGAGCAAAATGTCCGTTGAGCAGCAGAAGCATTCCTGGAAGATAAAATTGACTTCAGCCCCAGAAAAGATTTGCTCAGAAAACAATAAAGAGGAGCAAATTTGGTAGAATCCACCTTAATGATGGGGGGGTAAAGAGAAGAATCATCAGTGTCAGCCCGGTCAACAGTTATTTTGGGACTGGCCATGTTCAGCTGCTTCGTGAGACCACCTGACATGCACTCCCAAAATATGTGCCCACCCCCTCCAAATTGGGGGGGCAACTTCCTTCTCCCCATCTCTCCTTAAACCACCCATTCAAGACTCAGCTATGATTTCCTCCATGCTGGTGTCTCCCAGGGGTTTACTGTACTAGCTGCAATTTTCTGGGTTCATGTAATGCTTGAGCCATGGTTCATTAATTTTTGGCTTGCTGAATCACTACCATGATTTAAAAGGTATAGCAATTATATCCATTAGTGGACCAAGCCAAAGGTGAAGAAGGTCACACGGCTCCAGCCCAGCCTGGTCTTCCCTCTCGCCAGGCCGCCTGGAGCACTTCGGGCGCACCTGCATCGCCTTCAGCTCCTTCAGCTTCCAGCGGAGGTGAGCCAGTCTGCCCTTGCCCCCCATCCTCCCCGCAGCCACCAGGGCGGCTTGGAAGAGCTTGGGAGTCCCAGCTCTTGGAGGGATGATGAGGACATCTTTGGGCAGCCCCTTGTCTTCTTTGGGCTTGGTGTTGTTCTTCAGCATCCGCCTAGAACAGAGCAGAAGCACAAAATTGGATCAGCCAGATCTGTAAGAACAAACTGCATGTGGGAATGTAACAGACTGAGTGAACTGTTATCTTGCGCCTTCTCTATCTTCCTTCAGAGGCGAAGGGCAAGGAAGTTACCCCTGGCAGACAAGAGTGTTCTCATGACAGATTTCCAGGGACAAACTCAACCCAACACAGAGGAGAGGAGAAGGGAGGGGGAGGGGAGGGCTGGAGGGAAGGGGAAGGTTGAGGAGGGGCGAGGAGACCAGATCACACAAAGCAGATCAAACCAGATCCTGACAGGCAGGAGAGGAAGGCATATTTTGCCACCAACTGATCCCGACAACAGACATGGCCTCTTGGAAAATGAACTCCTCACACATCGGCTAGCATGAGCCTCTTGGAATTGGACTTATTGAATGGCATAGAGGGGAGAGCAAATTGATTAATGAATTAATTAAAATAAACCCTTGAGCATCCTACATCTCACCTGGCTTTCTTCCGCAACAGCTTTTGGGACTCTGGATAGTGCACCAGAATTTCATTCAAATCCTTCTTATCCAGAATGAAAAGGTTAGCAAATCCATGTGCCACAACATTAGCCGTCCGTCGATTTCCACCTCCCACAGCCAGTAAACTAATAGAAACAGCAAAAATACAAACTCAGCAGCCGATTTCTCATCTCCCGTTCCACAGAAAGGGGCAGCAGCTTCCTTCCACCTGTCTCCACCATATCTTCCAAGGCTACCATTCGGTAACAACAAATGTAAGATCCAGTAATCCAAACATTTCTTCAACTTGAAAGCACAAAGCACCGCTGCACCCAAAGAAGCTGCTCCGGAGAAGGCAGGGCTGCGCTGGCAGCGACCGCCCTGCTCCTGACTCCTGCTGGCTGGGCAGGCGGGCGGGTGAGGGAGAGAGGGCACCGACGAGGGGGTCTTCTCTGCTGTTTGCCTGAGAAAGGGCTTTTTAGAGGGTTCTGGGCTTGTGTGCTCAGGCGTTGAGACCGGCACTTGGTGGGCACTCTGGCTCTCCCAGAGGGCCCGGGGCCATCTTCCTGGCTGCCACCTGCGTGGGCCTTCCGGAAACAGCATGTGCTGGACAGGAGGGACCAAGTCTGGGAGCCAGACTGCAGCCGTTGAAGCTTTCTAAAACGAAACCAAGCCCGGTTTCCTCCAGGCAAGATTGCCTGAGAGTCAGTGCAGCTTTATTCAAGTATTTCTTTTTCTTAGGTTTATGACCTGCCTTTCTACTTGTATCAATGCTCAAGGCAGCTTGTAAGTTTAAAAATGTTCAAAACAAACATTAAAATTGAACTATGAAAGGCTAAGTGAAAGGAGGCATTTAGTATTTTTCTAATCCTGGAGATACGAGATGGTGCAGTTTTCTTGGGACAGGGAGATGAGCCTCCAGAGGCGGCAAGGCCGTCTTCAGAAGAACTCCGCTGGTGATGGAGAGCCACTTCCTCCCACAGCAGATCAAGCTGCTAGAGCAGGGATCCCCAACTCCCGGTCCGTGGACCAGTACCGGACCACAGCATGCCAGCAACTGGTCCACACAAAAAGCAACACACACACACACACACACACCCCGTGAGATGGAGGCAGCACCAAAAGGCAGACACCCTCTAGTACACGGAAAAACCTCTCTCCACGGAACTGGTCCCTGGCGCCCAAAAGGTTGGGGACCTCTGTGCTGGAGCATCTCTCATCTTGCCTGGAAAGTCACCAGGAACAGCACCATGGGTTCCTGGTTATTGTACCTGTCAAGGGTTGCTCACATAAACTATTTCTCGAGATGAGATGTCTAAAGAACAGTCTTGTGGCTTAGATGCGGGATTTGGAAGGGGAGATTCAGAGGATGGCTGCCCTCCTTGCCCACACTGGACCAGTCACGTCACGGGCGTGTTGCTGTGAGATGCAGCTGGAGAAGCCCCCCTGAGCCTCAGAGAAGAGGCAGGAGAGAAATGCAGCAGAGGAGAGAAAAGGAAGATCGAGTGCTTGCCTGACCTTATCTCTCCAAAGACAGAGCCGGCTCTCAGCGTCACGAGCACGGTTTTCCCATCCGGTCCCCCGAGCACTTGGACTTGTCCCACCTGAATGATGTACATCTCGCGGCCAATCTCTCCCTAAGGAAAAATCAAGGAACAAGTGGATCTGAGCAGTTCTGGCCCATTTGGGTCCTTCGGCTCTGCAGAGTTGAGGGTTAGTTGCCTGAACTTCATGCCTCAAATGTCCTGTTTTCATTTGTGGCTTCTGATTTGCAGAGGAAAAAGAAGAAACGAATTCCCTTTTAAAGAAACAAGCTCTTCCTCCAAAACGGTGTATTTTTTTTTAGTTCTGCTACTTCTGCTTTGCCATTATCTTAGTTACTGGCTTGAATGCTGCTTTCCCTGACACCTAATAATTAGGAATCATGTAATGGCCGTGACGACGGCTAACTAGATTTGGCTACCTCAGCCAAGCAGATCTAATTCCACTGACATCCCCCCACTTAAAAGCAAACGCCCAGGAGAAATCTCAGAGCCCTCTTTGTCCCTGCTTCAGTGGCATTATCCCAAAAAAGCACAACGTGGGGAGTGTGAGGTGCAGAACATGACCTATGCCCAGCAGCCTCCTTTACCAGTCTGACTGAATTCTGCAGCAACATTACTCACTGATTACCTTTTTGCACACGTAGTCGTTAGGTAGGTACACCACCGATCGCAGCCTCTTCAGCATGTCAAAAATCATTTGCCGATCACAGCCCTGCCCCAAGAGAAGGAGAGAAGGCTTGGACTCTGCTCTTTTGGCCAGGTAAGAAAGAGGAGCCTCCAGTCAGCTGGCATACCTGGAAAAGCGGCACTTTGCTCACAATGCTGAAGTTTACATCGACCACAATGTCCAGCTTCATCTTTTCAGGAAGCTGCGTGAGCAGCACTGATTCGTCTGCAGCGAGGGAGAGAAAAGGCGTGTCTTCTGGCCTCGTGTTGCAACAGAAGAGAACCGGGCCGGGGTATCCGTGATGGACCCCATCCCGAAATTCCACATCCTGAGCAGCCTGGTATCTGCCCACACTGGAACACCAGCCTCCCGTGGTGAGAAACCTCTCAAGGGCTGGTGGTTCTTTTTGCCTCCAGAAACCTGGAGAGGGCCGGCAATGAGTTCAGCCGATTCTCAAGCGATGGGCAGAGAAGAAGATTACGGTGCCAGCTGGATAGAGGGAGATAAAGGCTGATATCCACTCTCGCCCCCCACTCAAAATGCTCCCCCAGCATTTTAAATTATTATTCTAATTAACATTTTCATCCCAGGAAGAATTGAATGCAATACGATATGTTGGATGTGCACTGAAATAACGGTTTCCCTGCCCAGTCACATCCAACGCTGTGGGATGGAGCTCATCTCCGTTTCTTAGCCGAAGAACCAGCACTGTCCGAAGACACTTCTGTGGTCATGTGGCCAGCATGGCTATAAGCCAAAGGCACATGAAACACTGTTACTGTCTCACCAAAGGGGCACCTATTAATCTACTTGCACCTGCATGCTTTTGAATTGCTAGGTGGGCAGGAGCTGGGGTGAGTCGTGGGAACACGCCCCTTTGCCTGCTCTCGGGACTCAGGCTATCTGCTTTCCAGCTGATGGGCTCAGCATCTTTAGCCACTGAGCCACTGCATCCCCTCCACAAACAGGATAAAAAGGGAATGCCAGGAGGCGCAAGAAGTATTTTTCCCTAGCTTGTGCCAATAAAATGTTTTCAGTTGTACCCCCAAAGTGTCTCCGTGAGCCTTCTCAGCAAACAACGAGCGGGCTTTGCTTAGCCACAACAGTAACTCTTTCACAGATACATGGAATGAATTCTCGGAGGATCCTTTGGACCCTGAGCCTACAGCTTTCAAGTGTGAATAAGAAAGATGAGAACCGAGCCATTTTGTCTCAGTGGTACAGTTTAGAAAATTGACTAGAATTTGGCATTGCTGGAGCTTCTGCGCCATTATCAAGGGTTGCATCCCACTACAGGAATCCTGCCAGAGACTGCAAGAATCGCTGCAGCGAACTGGCCCATCCCATGGCTGGAAAGGACGATCAACCACTTTTCTAAGCCATGCAGCTTCTGCGAGATCTTGTGACATCAGAGGACAAGAAGGCAGCTTCAGACGGTGGGTCTAACCATACAGAGAGAGAACTGTCTCCAGAACAGGCAAGGGGAATGTGTTTTTAGACCCCTGCAGGTCTGCTGATGGAGCAGTTGGGAAGCCTGTTGGGCAGGACTGGAGAGGGAGGAGAAGACTGCTCTGCCCTCTAGTTCCTGCTCTCAGGGTTTGCTTAAACGCACAGATTTGAGGTTAAAATGCATTAAATGCTATACCTAGTCTGCCGCCAGGAATGTTTGTCAGGGAGGACCAAAAAAGCAAGATGGCAGCAACATTATGATGTACGTATAAAGTGGGCAGGACTCAGTATTTGCCATCACAGCCACCATCTTCTCTTTATACCTCCACTTGTAGCCACCAATAATTGTAATTACACAACACAGACCAAAGAAATCCCTTGCCTCTGAAAGTAAGGTGCTTACCCAGCATGCCTTGGGAATCCCAAGTGTATTCATACCAAGTTTTGATTCTGTTCTGAACTGAACGGGGAATTCTGTAAAAAGCCATATATTTTACGGTATTATCCATGCAACTTCGATAGTACGATTGTCCTGCTGTGGCAGCACCAACAACATCCCTCATCTGTATAAGATTTAAAGAAAAGAACAAACGGGAGATACACCTGAAGAGGTAAACCTAACAGGCTGAGAATCTGGCTTGTTTTTGTTAGGCTGGGACGCAATATCTGAAGGGCAACCCTTCGTTTAAGGACAGTTCAAAGTTATAATGGCTTCCAAAAAAAAAATGATTTATGACCTGTACTTACACTTAAGACTGTTGCATCACCCCCACATCACAGGATTGCAATTGAGGCGCTTGGCAATTGCCCTGCATTGATGACCGGTTGCAATCACGTGATTGCAATTTGCAACCATTTTTGCCAATTTCTGGCAAAAAACACCCATTGGAAAACCTGGATTTGCTTAACAACCACGCTGCTTTGCTTAACATCCGCCATAAAAATGGTCAAAAAAATCAGGTCCAAGTTGACTTACAACTGCTATGGCTTACGATGGAAACGGGCATTTCCATAAAAACCGTGGTGTGCAGCAAATGAGAAAAGAAGGCAGCAATTTTTCTAGCCCAGAGAAGGTGTGAAGTGAGAGCCCACCTGACCGATCATCACTGAGAAAGCAAAGACCCCCGTGAAGTAATTGAGAAGCTGAAAAACGATCTCAAAGAGGTTGTGGGGCTCCGGCAGACCTCCGATGGTGATTAGCGTCTTGACAGCCCAGTAGTAACAGCGGATGTAACTGCCAAAGACAAAGCACAGGAGACACACAGAGGTTGTGCACGTCTTCCTCCCTGCCCCCTCTCCAGAGACGGCCGGCCAGTTGCCCGTGATGTCTACCTGTTTCCTCTGCCGTCGTAGACCCAGGCGGTGGAGCCGAGCCCCTGGAAGGAGGAGGCCCAGTAGTACAAGCAGGTGTTCAGGTGCAGGCTGAAGAGCAGGTAGGCCGTGATCCTTACGACTCTGCCAAGAGGGCAAAACAACCACCCTGCTAAGGATGGGCTGCTAAAGTCCCCACAGGACCTGAGACCGCCTGTGCCCTGCTCCTCTGCTTCTCGCCCTCCCTCCCACTACCCCCGGAGGGCATTGCTTGCCCCGCATTGCTCCCAGAAGGAATGCAAGGAACAGGAACCTCAGAGGGTGCCTGGGAATCAGGTATGGCTGGAGAGGAGCAGCCACACTGCCAGGTGCAGCCCGGCTCTTCTAAGCCAGCCAAGATAGCGAGATTGTCTGCAAAGGGCAGGCAAAGGGCCAAGATGGCCCCCACAACAATGCATTCAAAGCTCTGCCTGGCTGCTATGTAAATTGTGCAACACACTCACACACACACAAAACACAGGCACTGCTTTGATTGCGTATCACAGCTGCCATCTTGACTTTCTTGACTCTGTCCTGCAGACAGGTAGCCTCAGGCTTTAAAATTGGTCTGGAGTTTATGCTCAAAAAGGTCACAGATGGTACAATCCTTTATGGATCATCATATCATGGATCAACATATCCAACTCCCAGCAGCTCCTCCAGGCTCCATGTCAGCTGAGCTTCCCAAGCTGTTTCTAGAGGTGGCCCTGCACAAACTGCATGATTTATTCTGTCTGAGGATTTCTGCTTTAAATTCAGTTAACCTCAGCATACCATAATATTAACAAGAGCGCTGGCCTTTAAAGTAGAAATCTCCGCTCTTTGGCTGCAATAAGTGGCTTGTAACGTTGGAAATAAAGTGGATGTAGATTTTGATTCTACAAAACCATTGTGTAGATTTTCCTGTTGTTGCTATTTCTTTTAGAGAGGTGTGAGAGGACGGCCTGCAGGAGCTGCTGAACTGCTCCTTGCCCAGAAGGAGAGAACCTCACCTGTAAACGTAGGCCTTGCTCAGAATAGCTTCAAGTCTATTGTTAAACTCAAAGAAGGCCAGGTACTGTGAAAAAGAAATAAAAGTCCCAGTGAGCTCCAGAGAAGATTCTGCCCAGGGTTCACCAAGGAAAGGGAAGCAGAAGCATTCCCCAAGAAAGCCACGGGTGAAGCTTTCGGGAGCAGCACGGAAAGGGATCGGTCCCTTGGCAGCTCCTCTGTGTGGACCTTCGGGGTCAACCTCCTTTCCCGGCCCTTCCCGAAAGACGCAAAACCACGATGGAGCAGGACTGACCTTGAGGCAGCGAGGCAAGCGCAGGAGAGGATGAACGCCAACCTTGAAGTACAGGAAGTCTAGGGGGAGAAGGCAGAGGGCATCCATCTGCAAAGAGAAAGAGGGCAGGAAGCGCTTTTCTGGCATCCCATTGACAGACACACGCAACCTGCATAATTCATCTGTAAAGATTAAACAAAATTGCAAACAAATATATATATATATATATATACATACATATACATACATATACATATACATATATATACATATACATATACATATACATATACATATACATATACATATATATATATATATATATGTTTTCTGAGGTTTTCGCGGGTATTTGTATATAGGTCTTTGGTTGTTCGTCGAAACGTTGCCAAGACACTTCCAATTTTACGCGGGAGAAAACCCGAACAACCAAAGACCTATATATATATATATATATATATCAGGAAATATGCATAATAACATAAATGTTCTTGAGCGAACATTTTAAAAATGACCAAGTGTAATGAATCAGATCTTACCATTTTACAAACAAAGAGAGCAATTAACAGAAACCAATTTTGAAAAAGATAGACTCACCCATCTCCCCTTCACTCAAAAGATATCAGTGATCCGATATTCCCAAATTATATATGAATATTATACTGTATACAATTTTACTGCATATAACAAGAAAGATATTAAACATAAACATTACATTTGTAAACTTCCTATGCCATTGTTACAACAACCCAAGCAGATAATATCTCTGCTATGACAAAGAATTCAGCATCCAGAATATTATCGATCACATGACGGGGAACAATGTTTCGCTTAGATGCTTTTGGGGGGTCGTTTTGTTGTTGTTGTTAATTGCGAAGTCGTGTCCGACCCATCACGACCCCATGGACAATGTTCCTCCAGGTCTTCCTGTCCTCTACCATCTTCTGGAGTCCATTTAAATTCACACCTACTGCTTCAGTGGGGTCGTTTTAATTAGGAGTAAATTAAACAAAACACTACACACCTTAAAACGACGGGATTTCAGGTAATTCTTCCTCATGGCTCTCTTATCAGTCTAGAAGAAGAAAGAAAATGCAAAAGGGCACCACTGAAACTCAGAGGGAAACTGAGGCACAGCTAGCAGAATGTATGTGTCCCGGCCTGGCATGGAAACAGACACAGCATCAAAACCTGCTGCACTAGAATTGCTGCTCTTCTGAAGCTTCTTAAGTCTTGCAGATTGTTTATGCTCAGTGGGGTTACCTGCCTTTTGCAGAGGGAACCCTGTATTATAAACCTAAGATAAATGTCTTGGGAAAGACTCAGTGATCACTGAGGTTTCTGCAGCCCGGATTTGATCGCTATTTATGGATGAAGGGCTTAATTGCTTCAGGTATGCTCTCAAAGCAGGAGTCAGAACCCAGACACGGCTTGGCTTGCTGAGTGCCACTTACAATAATATCTCCTTGATGGACAAACTGCAGGCGGACCTGAAAGACGGCGATGTCCAGAAGGTAGATGAGATCACAGAGGTAGTCCACAGCCATCCAGTAATAGACATTCTCAGATGATTGATATGGGAAAGCCCAGCGAACCGGAATCAGCCAACAGTTCCAGTTCCAGGCCAGGACCACAAGTAAGAGCCACAACACATACATCAGATCTAGAAGAGGAGGGAAGCCCAGGAGATACTCAGGACTCTTGTGGAGCTTCCCTCAAATTCCCATTTCAAGGTGCAAGAACTTGCAGATCAGAGAGAAGATCAGAGATCAGGCAAGAATTGTCACCTAGTGGGCCAAATGGCCTATGCAGCAAGTGGGCTTTGGGTGGCTTACAAGTCAATTAGTCAGCCAATTGTGAATCAATCTGGTGGTCATTCTCTCTATCCCACCTTTGGCTAACTTATGAAGAAGTAGGCTGTGTCTGTTTTGTCAAATGCCTTACTGAGATGTGGACCTCTCAGGAGTCCTCAACAGTCCCTACCAATTGCTTCCAATTTCCTTCAGGGAAGTCTGTTTGGAGATTAAGAGAGGCTTATGGATGGTTGTCCACAATCAGTTTACAGCTTAATTTATTTAACCTACATGGCAAAAATACTATTGTAGGTTATGAATATCCTTTCTCCACTTTTTGGACTGTATTTGCAATAATTGAAAATGTCATTTGTGAAAGACCTGAAGTGCCTTGCTATATTTAAGGGTCCATTCAAATGATCTTGCATTTCAAGGGATAAGGATTAGCTAATTGTTTCAGTGGACCATCAAGGTTCCTGGGGATTTCCAACAGGTCTGCATTCCTGACAGGCACAGAAGACCATGAAGTTCCAGTTAAACTGATTTATTGCTCATGCCCATGCATATGATATGGATTACCACTAGATATGGGTTAATGGAATTCAAGGAGAGTTGGGCTTAGTCCATTTGTGACTATGTAGAGATTCTAGGCTGATTTCTCTTTTGACTCTGCCCCAGGTACTGCTACTCTTTCTCCTAGAATTCCCTTTGCAAAGTCCCTCCTGCTCATCCTTCCCTTCTTTCTCGGGGTTCAGCTGCCTCTTCAGTCCAAAGCCCATCCTGTTACTTACTGGAGGAGGGGTCAATACTTCTGGGGAACTGGACTTTCTTCATGTGGCAGAGGAAGGGGTGATATTTAAACCTGCAGCAAATGGTTTCGTGGAAATGCCCCTCTCCATCTTCCTCGGCTTCTTTGCCTTTCTCCTCTGGGATTTTCTCTTTGGAAGGAGCTAAGAGAACAAACCAAATTGGTGAAATCGAAACAAAATGTTTTGCCCATTATTAGGGGCCAAATGAAGAGAAAGTTCAGACACACTCTCTCTAGTAAGAGTGGACAACCCATATTGCAACTTGCACCTGGCCCGAAATCCCAACTGGCAGCTGCCCAAATCAACCAGGATTGCTCTTTTTTGGTTAGGGCTAGAATATCTTGTGCCTGAGATTGCAGGCGTGGTGGAACCAGTGGTAGGATTCAGCCAGTTCGCATCACTTTGGCAGAACTGGTAGCTAATTTTTTGTTGCCCAGGCCCAGAATGGACTTCTGGAAGTGGCATCCACACAGAGAACCAGTTGTTCACATATTTGAATCCCACCACTGGGTGGAACCTCAAGGATGCTGAAACTATTGTGAAATACACTTGCTTCATTACTAAAATAGTATTATCTCCCCTCAAATACAACAACAGGCAGAGTCTGAAATGATTGTGTTACTCTTGGAAGGAAGATTCGGACCAGAAGTTCTGGAAGGGTAGGAGACAGCCCGGCTGCTGGGCTCACGCATCCCACAGCACAGCATAAAATGATGGTCTCTAGGATGTCAGCCTGCCAAGGCTGAGGCTGCTTTCCCCGTGAGCTGAACATTCCCCCCACCAACGCCAGCTGGCGGGTCAAGGCTCTCTCTCAGCCCCCTCGGGACACGAGAGTCCCAGCCCTTAACCCCCAGGCTCACTCACAGGCCGCCGGGGTCTCGTCCTCGGAAGAGGCATCGGGGTCCATCAGCTTCTCCTTGACTTTCTCAGTTCGGTCCTTGAAGAGCCGCACCAGCTCCTGCAGGCGGTCGTTGATGATGGCACTGCTCTGGCTGGCGGCTGAGCTGCCGCGCCTGGGTGAGCTGCAGAGCAACCGAGAGGGAGAATCGGCGCCTGCCTTCCCAGGGACTCTGGAAGGGCAGGGCCAGACATCTGTGGCTGAATCTGGGCTTGTTTGGGGAGGGGGCAGAGATAAGAGTGGGAATGGAAGAGTTTTGCCCTGCCTTCCCATTCGGTTTGAATGGTTGAAGTGTGACCCAACTACCCGCCCAGTCCTGTACAGGTAAGCGACAGGCCATTCATGTGGTCTCCAGCAAATCTTGCAGCAGTCCCTGATCTGCTCAGGTAGGATGTTTTGGGATTATACCTGCTGAGTTCTTCTTCCTGTTGATTGGACTGCTCTGGCCAGGCATTGACTGGGGACAGCTTTTCCACATTTGCTTCTTGGGAAGAGGATTTCTTCCTAAGGTAGGCAAAGAATTTGGAAAAACAAAGCATCAGCACAGTACATTAATTGCTCTATGATATTTGAGTACTGAAAGGAATAGAATGGAATAGAGCTGTAAGGGACCTTGGAGGTCTTCTAGTCCAGCCCCCTGCTCAACCAGTTCAGGACATATGTAATCCAGTGAGGATCTGGTGGGACGGTAGAGATAAGTATCCCAGAAGAGTAATTCAGGCCGAGGTCCAGGTTCTCACAGAATACCAAACTCTGCATTGACACAGGCTTCATACCTCTTTGGTGTAGGTGGCACAGTGAGGGTGTGCAAGCCCTTTGGGGCTGATGGCCAAGCTTGGGAGGCAGGAATTGGCAGCCTGGAAGAGCCATTCTTAGAATCCACCTTTGGGGCATTCACCATGAGGTGTTTGCCTGATGGTTGTCCTTGGGTAGGAAAGACCAAGAAAAGTTAGGTTATTGACGATATGGATTCTTGACCTCAAGCAAATTCCAAAATGCTCAAAAACATGGCTGTTGGTTACAATCAAAAATCTCTGCCATAAAAAATGGCAGCTTCCTGTTATGCTCTGTTTAGTTGTACCCTTATTTCTAGGTTATTTTCTGAAGAAAATTCAAGTCATCTTTTCAAGGCATCAGAATTTTGATTAAATGTCTATATAATTCAACATCTAAAATGGGAAACGTTGGGTTAAGAAAGTTGGGTTAAGAAAATCAGATTTTAATATTATTTTCATAAGCAAGATATCCCATATGCCATTAGAAGATGCTTCTCTAGAATCTTTTACCATGTATTTGTGATTCAGTATTGAATGTATGTTGTATGTTGACCCCTCTGGAAATAACACTCTATTTGGAACTAAACCCCAAAGATGCAGTCACCCCAAAGTGCTGGGAGGTCAGCGAGGGAAGCTGCAAGCACTAAAGTCTTGGCAGGTGCTACATTACCCCTGTTGCCCGAGCGGGAAGCTTCTTCCTTCCGAAAACTGGGGTTGCTCAGGCCAGCCTTCGGTTTCCTAGGGACGAGGATGGGGATGTGGGAGGGAGGAGCAGAGCTGCGGTAGCTGGGGACATTGGGCAGCTCTTCCACACCGGCCGAGCAGGAAGGGGAGGCATGCGGATGATGGCGCGGCTTCTTGGGCACCAGGCGAACCAGCTCCACAGCGCGGGTTGGCCTGGACATGGCGCTAGGGAGCCAGACGCTTCAGGGTGAGGCTGTGGGGCTGGGAACTGCAAGAAGAAACACACAACCGCCCAGTGAGGAGGGGCGTCATTCCGCCCTGAGGGAGGCCCTTCCCTGGGCAAGAGGGAAGGTGGCCTCCCCTGGGAGCCAAAGAAGCCCTAGCAGATGGGAACCACCTGGTCCCACCAACGGAGAGACTGACGCTCCCCAGAGAGTGGGGCCTTGATGCCCGCCCACGCGTCATTCTGGTCGGAGGCACTTCCCAGCACCAAAACAGCATTTTCAGAACAGAATCTGCTGTTAAAACTAGCATATGACTCTTTACACACATCCTTAACTCCCCTCCAAGCCACCCCTCAGTGCAAAAAAGAAAAAAGAAAAAAAGAAAAAAGGCAGAGGCTGAAAACTTTGGCCAGTGCAATTTCTGAGGGTGTCACTGGTTTATGACATCCCCCTGTAGTCCTCAGAGACCAAATAATTGTGTGTGGGAGATACAATTAGGTTGAAAACATTGCCATGGAACAGTCTGGATTTGTAAGCAAATCTGAAGTATCTGGAGGTAATATGAGATAACTATTCATTTTTAACCATTTTCCAGGCCTGTCCATAAGTTGTGATCAAAAAAGTCAAAATGGCAGCTGCACTGGCCTGATCAGTCTCCCCCCTTGCTTGTTATGTGCACCAATTGCACAGGCAGAGGGCAAGACTTTTTTGACTAACCCCCTGCAGGCACTCTGTTAGCTTCTCGGCACCAAATGCTGCCCCTGCATTCCCTGGAAGAGAACCCAGTGGCCCATGGGGGGGGAGGGGATGGTGGTCCTGCAGGGGGCAGACCGCCGTGGGTGATGCACACGGTACCTGCAGGGGCAACCAAGGTGGGGGCTGCTGCTGTTGCTGCTGCCTTTATCTGAAAACAAACAAATAAACAAACATTATTCTAGAGAATGTTAGCATGGAAAAGCATTCCATCACCCCAAAATAGCAGAAATGTGGATTTTTTAACATATACTGTAAAGATTTTGGAATCAAATTTTATTCCATTGAATTATTTATCAATGTATAAAACATTTAGTGAATTATTATGCTTTCAATTGGTCATCAATCAACCACATATGTGCATCCACTACACAGCTTTATTAAACAATGGTAGACTTTTTAACCACAATGTATTTAATTGGCTAAATTATCACATTACACTAAACAAGAATGTGGTTTGTCTAGCTTAGCCTTAGCATGTCTTGCAAACTTATCTCTCTTGGCTGTAAACCAGGGGTTGTGATTTACTTCTATACCAATTCAACAAATCAGGCTTAATGTGACGTATGAACCCTATATCCAATTGGCTGTAAGACCTGAACTAAATGTGGTTTTGTGGAAATCCTTCTGTTTGAGCAAAACAAAGTTAGCAGGAGATCCTCCCAGGCCTCAGTGGTGGGACGGCATCAACCTTTCCCAAGCACAAACAGTCTGAAGCCAAAGGCTCTGAAGCCATGTACAAAATGTTCTCCATCAATGATATGGAATATTAATAGAAGTAGTAATATTAACATCATTTCTGTTGAGTGTCAAGAAATATTTCCTAACAATAAAAGCAGTTTTATTACTGCGAAACTAATTACTTAGAAGATAAATAAATGAATAAACATAGAAATACATGAACAGACACGAACCTGAATTAAGGGGTTTGCAATGTCACCTTCTGCTTCAACTTTTGCTGAAGTCAGTTGTCCCAACGTGCCAACATTTGAAGCTTCCCTGGGACAAAAACGGAGTCATCAGGATCAGATGGAATGGAAAATCATAATGGAATTTTACAATCCGGGATCCTCTGGATCTGACTGCAGCATTCACACAGCTCATGTTAGCAAAGATCTTCAAATGGAGAGCACCGCAACCCAGAATTACCTGAATATCATAGCCAGGGCTTACTCCTGGCACTGCCATGAAGGTTACTTGCCTGGCTATTAAGCTTGCCAAAGTTGCAAACCTAGCAGCCATCCAGGTGAGATGTCCACTCTGCACAGCATAAAGATGTGGTATAAATCAAATAAGTCGATGAATATACCAGGGTGAGGGGAAACATTTTGTAGTTGCACATGGGAAGTTTGAGTGTGCCCCAAACGCTCCCCAACCTCTTGTGTTACATCACGACATGACAAAGAAACAGAAGCAAGATGGGGCGAGAGGAGGAAGGTCCTGAGGTCTCCTCTCTTCTCTGGGTGCCTTGCCTATCAGAAGGACATTCCTTCTGGAGATCTCTAGGCAAAGACATTCAACAAAGCATCAGACGATCTGAGCTCTGTATATCCGGCCTTCTCATAAGACATGGAAATTGTGCTTCCCTAACACAAAGTAGGAAGAATTCATTAATTGGAAGGCCCGATGTACAGAGCGAAAGTTGTCTTGCTCATAAGAAATAAAAAATGGCCCCCTCTTCCTCACTGAAGGCCCTGGGCATCCTTCGCCACTTTCCCAGAATCTGGACTTAAGCAAGTACCTTTGACTCATGAACCTGACATCAGATGAGCCCAGTTGAATTTATAATGGGAAGCATCACAGGAAAAAAAAAAAAAAGCCCAGAACAAGAAAGCAGCAGCTGAAGACTCACCTACTCACCTCTTTGGGTCACATTCCTCCAAGGGCAAAGCACCATCTCACCCTTCCATCCACCCTCAGGATTCGCTCCATCCTTCAAAAAGGCTTCCCTGACTGATGATGCTACAATAATCCACAACAGCTTCAGAGCCAGAATTTTGCCACTGTTTTAGATGCTGCTGGTTTAACTGCCTGCCCCTTTTTCTCCTTAACCAGGGTGTGTGTGTGTGTGTGTGTGTGTGTGTGTGTGTGTGTGTGTGTTGCTGTGTGGGACCTGCCCCTGTCCACCCACCCCGCAGCCGAGCAGGGCTTGGGGACCAAAGACCTGCTGTCTCCAGGAGCAGAGGCAGTTGCTAAGAAGGAAAGCAGGTCACCAGGAGGCTCTGACGGTTACTAAGCACCGTGCAGCACTGCCAGCCCTTGGAGACGGGGTCCTTTGGCGACTTCAAAAACAAATGCAGGAACAATTCACGGGGAGGCGTCTGGCACTTCTATTTTTCAGCTACAATGCAACCTTCTGCCCTTTTTCAAGATGTCAAAAGATTTAGAAAGCATTTAATTTCTATTATTGCGACACATGCCTGAAGCTGTTCTTTTAGAAACACGATTCCTCTGAGCTCCTATGAGGCGTCAATACTGCTTGACGCCAAGTGCTTCTTTTTCACATCTGTTTGAGGATGGACGTGATCTCACGGGCTGATCTTCTGACCACTGACTCTGAATGCAAAGGAGACTTTGGCTCACAGCCCTCTGACAAGGTCTCCATGGAGATGGGATTAAAAGCAAACTCAAAGGACAGAGGCTTTTTCAAAGGAAATGCAGGATCTGCTGCTCTGCCAAAGGCTCTAGTCTAGGAAAGGCCCCCTTTCCATCGCAGATTCTTCATTTATTTCACGTCTGTCCTCTTTGACTACAGAAGAGCACACGTAGCACACGCCCTGCCCCTACTGGAGACCGTGGCAGCCCTAGGGGAAGGGGCTGGGGCTGAGAGGGGAGGTAGCAGCTCTCCTGCCAAAGGAAGGGCCAGAGCCTCGCTGGATTGGAACCACCCAGTTCCACCAGGGGCGGAGAGGGAGGCCTGCCGCACGTTGTCCAGGGAACCTCTGTGCCTGACAGGCTGCCTGAAACCTGGCTCTCCCCACTTCTAGTCCAGCACCTTTGCCACAGAACCACCCTGGTTCTGGGGTCCAGAAGGACTCCCTCAGAGCCCCCAGGAAATGGCCAAGGATGCCGGGGGGAACAGAACTCGAGTCTCCCTGGTCTGACGTCCTTAATCCTCACCCTGCTCTGGCTCTTGAACTGAGCCAGGGTCAGCCTTTCAAGGGGGCCAGAGTGGGAAACCCAAGTCAGGCAGGCCAACGAAACCTGCATTGCAGACTGGGAGAAGCAGGGCTCCCTCAGTCACATTTCTGCCACAGAACCCTCTGATCTGGCCCTTGTCTTGGCAGTGGTTCCTCCTCCTGCAAGGTACCCTCTGCCCAAAGCCCCCAGGAAGCTTCTAGCACTGAGGAGGACTAGAACCTGGCTCCCCCTGCTCCTAGCCCAGCACCTTCATCACTAACCACATGGGTTTTCCCAAGGAGCCGCCCAGATCGACCCACGGTGGTTGGGTCCTTCCTTGAAGGGTCTGCTTGTGGCAGTGGAAGAAGCAAGAAGAGTCTGCAACTCAGGAAGAATGCTCTGGAGAATCTGTGATCCCATCCAGCCTTTCCAGGCTCCCAGCCCCTCTCTGACCCCCACCAGGAAGGCCTTGGCCACAGCTCTCCCATCATCTCCTGTCTGCCCCAAATGACCGTTCCTTAGCGTTGACCTCTTTCTTTCCTCTTGACCTCCACCGTGCTTCCTCTCTGGGCTGGGGGGAGAGCCCAGATCACACTCGGCTAGGTAGGTCCAACTTCTCACTTCCACGAGCACCTCATCGTCCTCTTCTGCATCCCTCTGCACGGAAAAGGTTCGGGCTGGAAAAGAGAAAGCAAGGCTAAAAGGTGAGGATGGACTTTACAGAGGAAGTGGGAGAAATGGTCTCTAAAATAGCTTTAGGAAAGAAAGAACAATGTGGAATTCTTGTGGCTCCAGACTGAATAGGCCTGTGTGACTCAGACTCTTCTCTTGCTCATCAAAGCACCTAAACGGCATCTGGGCTCACAAGACAGAAGTCACCTGAAGGGCTGCATGCCTTTCTCTTGGCTGCCACACTGAGAATTGACAGGGGACTCCGGCCTGCAGCACCTTCACTTCAGGTTCCTGTTACAGGTCCCGGCCTCTTCCAACTGACCGTCTTTCCTTGGGAGCAAGTCTCTTGCCTGCCTATAACACCGTTTCTTCCAGCTACAACAGCTTCCAATTTCATTCCGTGAATCATCCTGGACAACTGGGGCACCATCTTGACCTGAGTTGTTGTAAGAGTAGAGTAAGGGGAAGCAAACCACTATAAGTGGGTCTCTACCGGTGGGACTTTTGCCTCAGGTGGGACTCAATACTGTAAAGTGCTCTGACAGATATACCATCAGTAGGTTTCTAAATCAAAACATTATTCTTGGAGAAAGTTGCCTTTTTGTTTCAGTCATGAGGTCCTTCGACAGAGTGAGAGGCAGGACATAAGATGCAAGATTGAGAACATTGGGGTGCTGGTGCACCCCAGAGTGGGCTAAATGTACAATACTGTCAAACCTGCCCCAGTTTGCTCTCTCAGGAAAGTAGGACTCGTGACTCCATTTAGTTGAAGCAAAGGAACTATCACTGAAAGAAACTGGTTGCAGCAAAGTCAGGCAGAATCCAGAGTTCCTGTGCAAAATACAAAGCTATTCTTTCCAACTCCAAATCCCTCCCCCCACGGCCAGTCCGCCCCCCCCCTCCCCGCATGATGTTTTGAGAAACTCTGAGGTGTGAAACTGCTAACCTATTCTCAGGGCAAACGGCCTTGAAGATCCTGGCATGGTTTGGTGATCTGGTCTTCTATTGTTGCCACTCTCCCCTTCCCATTTCCCACCATTAGATACACAGGTGTGGATTGCCCCAAGATGCCTCCCCCTCTCCCTTCCCCTTTGATGGCAGGAACCCAGCAAGGCACCAGGCCGATGATGGAGATTAAAAATGTGTTCACAGACTAGAAAAAAGAAAGAAGTAAACTAAGGTAATTGAGGCCGTCTGTTACCCAGAATGTTGCCGAGAGGCTTGATTTCCAGAACATACATTCTGTAGCCTGGACATGCCCACTAACTACAGAGGGAACTGGCTCTTTCAAGGGTAGTGCTTCTCCACCCAGAGAAGCATCAACAAAGAGCCCAAATGTTCAAACAGCAACTCCATCTTAGTATTTTCATCACTGTAAATAAGTCTGCTGAGCCATAAGGAAGATATTGTTGCAAGCTCATCAGTGGGAGATGTTCCTAACGCTCAAAGGCTGACTAGAATCGCAGATGCTCCCGGCTGGAGGCTCCTGCAATCCCCAGCAAGAATCATGGGAAGCAATGAAGTTGGAGTGGATTTCACAGGAGCACAAACAGCCAAGCAAGGCAAGCCTGCATCAAGTTGGTGCCAGATGGGAAATCTTCACAAAGATCACAAAGCACTGCCTGGTTGCTCCAGGACTGCCCTTTTCTGGGACCACAATGGGTTGTGGTTGTTTTGGCACTCAGGCCCTTTGCTCAGCTGGGTCACCTTAGGATCTAGCATGTTGTGCAGACAAGACAGCACAAAGGGCATGGGGCCAAGAGCACGGATTAACCCCAATCCGCAGCTAGGAGCCCTTGATGAATCAGATTACCTTGTTCACTGAGAAACCAGATCCTCAATAGGCAGGTAGTATTCAAGCCATAAATATATCAGTCACCTCTCCGGGAAAAATGGATGGAGCCATACAAAGCCAACAAGTAACAGTTGGAAGGGACCTTGGAGGTCTTCTAGTCCAACCCCCTGTACAAGCAGGAGACCGTATACCATTTCAGACAAGTGGTTGTCCAATCTCTTCTTAAAAACCTAAGGCAAGCCGTTCCACTGGTTAATTGTTCTCACTGTTAGGAAGTTTCTCCTTAAGTCTAAGTTGCTTCTTTCCTTGATTAGTTTCCATCCGTTGCTTCTTGTCTTGTCTTCTGGTGCTTTGGAAAATAGGCTGACCCCTTCATCTCTGTAGGAGTCCCTCAAATATTGGAACACTGCTATAACATCACCCATAGTCCTTCTTTTCACTAGACTAGACTAGACTAGAGCTGGAAGGGACCTTGGACGTCTTCTAGTCCAGCCCCCTGCTCAAGCAGGAGAACCTATACTAGATATACCTATATTAGACAACTAGACATACCCAATTCCTGCGATCATTCTTCATATGTTTTAGCCTCCTGTCCCCTAATCATTTTTGTTGCTCTTCTCTGGACTCTTTCCAGAGTCTCAACAGCTTTTTTATATTGTAGTGACCCAAAGCAGTATTCCAAGTGCGGCCTCACCAAGGTCTTATAAACCAGGACTCCACATGATCTTGTTCAGTCACTCACTGCTAAAGCCTGTCAGGTGAAGAGGTCTGAGGCAACAAGAGGGAAATGTGACTGGCTTTGGACTAACCCTGTTTGGAGTGACATGTGATCCCAGCTATTGAGAAACCTGTGGCAACTTAAAGGTTAGCCATTTTATTATGACATAGATTTTTTGGGGGGGGGGAGAAGATTCTCCTCAGATCTGGAGATGGTTTTAGGTCCAGGAAAGTGTTGGGGTTGTTTTGGAAATCCACAGAACTTTTCAGTGAGGAAGATGACTCACACGTGACCCAGTCCTGCCCCAGAGGCAGTCGTGACTGAGGGTGGGCTCTAGAAACAGCACCCATCGGGTCTGTTTGGCAGCAGGGTCCTTTGGCAGCAGAGGTGAAGCAGAGCAGGGGCCTGAAGCAGGAAGTGCTTCAGTAGAGAAGGTGCAGACAGTAAACCACAATGCACATCTTGGCTTCTTAAAGAAGGCTTTGTAGCCATAGTATCTTTTCTCTATCCTAATGAAGGAGAATTGATTTGGAGTTATCTGACTCCTGTTTCCTGCTAACCTCTTGGTTGGTTGGGACTTCTCTACTTTGCTTAATCATGCTAATTGATTTCCTGTCAGATGCCCATCTTCGCTTTGTCTGAAGCTTGCTAGCAACTGCCATAACCAGGGGGAGGGGGCATCTGGAAGGCTGTGAGAATTTGGGGAGTGTGAACACTAACAGGAACCGGAGGTGCCAAATGGCCCTGGGAAAGGAACTTACCACTGGCGCCTCAGGCACCAGATTCCCAAAACATCGGACCAGGACTGGACTGGACTCCTGTGGCGGGGGGGGGGGCGCTTTGGACGTTGGGGATTGCTTTCAATATATAGTTTTTCTTCAGAGCTTGCCTCACTCACACCGCACTCAGCCCCTCTAGTAAAAGTACCTTTTCTCTAACACCCATGGAGTCAAGGGTCGCTCTTTCCCAGGGACTAAACTGGGGCCAGTCTGACATTTCAACCACAAAGAGAAAAATATTGACAGATCCGTGTCAGGTAGGGAAGTGAGTGGTGTAAGATGGGTGTCCTATGGAATCTGCCTTTTGGCTGACTTTGGGGTACAGAAAAATTGATGTTAAGTTTGGGTTACTACCAGTGATTTCAGTTAATTTTCAGTTAATTTTAGTCCATTCAGTTAGTTTAGATTTTACTGGATTGAGTGAATGCTCCCCAGAAAGCATTGATCTGATAACTGAGCCTACCCTTTGTTGTGAACACAGCCAATATTGGACGGACACTAGGTGGGGTGCAAGCCTCCATAGTTCCAGAAGAACTCTAGCTGATGGGACACTGGAAAGACCTAGGCACAGCTGTCGGTATGCTGGAGCTCTGTGTTAAGACACAGAAACCAGGGTCTCAGTCGAGCTCAGCGATAGCAAGCAGCATCCTCTGAGCCCAGAAGGACCGAGTCTGGGCACAGTCAGTAGTAGCATTTGAAAAAAGAAGAAGATTCAAGCACTGATTAAAACTAATTTTATCCAAGTAACCCCCCCTCCCCCAAATTAGCAGTTCTTGCTATAATCTTTTGAGGCACAACCAACATTCAACTTTCAAGGAGAGGCACTAACCCTAAGTGACCATCAGCTGGAGCCACAAAGTCACTAAGTGGTGCCTCTGTTCAATGTGGCTTTAGCTAGGGTGTGTGACCTGCAGCTAAAAGGGCCTTCAGAGGAGGAATGATCTTGAAGGCCCCTCTCCCCAGTTCTCCATAGGTTGCTTTTTTCATATACTTGTAACCCAGAAAATTATCTCACATTCAAAATTTACTATAAGGTTTACTTTATTTAATTTTGGAAAAGAAACCCTCTGAACTCTGGTTTTTCATGATTCTATACGCCCCCAAAAGTCAGGTTGGCTTCACTTGGTTCATGAAAAAAGATCTCCCAAACCATCCATGTCCCTTTGTTTCAGGGGCTCTAAGCCCCTTTGCTTGCTGAAACAAAAGGAGAAGGGAGGGAAGTTAGAGGGCCGTGAACTCCTAGGGCAAGAAGAAGGGCGAGCAGGCTGGCCCTTTCCTCACAGGTAAGTGAGCTGGTACTGCTCC